AGCTTTTTGAATGGTTAACATAATACCTAACAGCTAGAACACAAATTGTACGTATCCACAACTTTCAGTCTACCGAAATTAAAGTTCCATCAGGTATTCCGCAGGGGTCACGGACCCTTACTCTTCAATGTTTACGAAAATGATATGGGATCCTGTTTCACATTTGCATTTTTTTTACTATTTGCTGATGATCTAAAATTCTACATGAAAATTCAAAATCAGAATGACTGTGACCAACTTCAATCTGATTTAGATCGTTTATCTCAGTGGTGCGATCTTAATGGAATGGAACTAAAAATTAATAAATGCCAATTATTGATCTTCAGCCGTGGAAGTAATCCCATCCATCAAGATTATAATAAGGCTCGCCCTTATTGCTGGCTTCTCAAATAAGAGATTAGGGAGTGTTTCCACACTGCAAAAGCATACTCCAATTTAGGCCTGATGTAGTTTTTGTGAAGTTTTGTAACCATTTCTACCGAGTGATCGTTAAAACCATGTTCGATGAGATAGATTAATGAGTTCGCTTTCTTGACAATTTTGTTGATGTGACTTTCTCATATAGGTAACATTTGATGTCACCGTAACTCCGAGATCATTTTGCTTTGGTTTGTTGAAAGAACTTGTTTATGTAGCATATACTCAATATTTTTTTCCCATCATCTGCAAAGTTCTTCATTGATGTTTCTATGAGATCGACGAGATCAAAAAGGTATGATGTGAAAAGCAATGGTCCTATTACAGACCCCTGAACAACGCCACTACTAACTCGATGTTTATCCGACAACGTACCATTGATGGCATGTAATATTGACAGTTGAGTTGAAGAGGGCGCTTCTGTACTTGGATCTCTTTAAATTTTGGCGCGTAAAAATTCGATTGTAATTCTAACCTCAAAACTGAAGTTTGATGTGTGGTTTCAAGACAAGCTGACGCTGACACTTTTAAAAATATTCTCTAAGGGCCACTGAACGCTTATGAAGATATTTAAACTTATCCATTGTCCATTGTTCATATGTAGTCATCTTTCTCTCTACTCAGTTTAATCCAATGTTTAATCAGTTTTAAACTATTGACATTTACCGCCAAAATTTAAAACACTCCAAGTTCACTCGCGCCCTCTACAAAATTTTGCGGAACTTAACTGGATATTTGCTGCCATTCATACTTGACCTTGAAACTTAAAAAAAAAGGGTTGTCGTAGATTGATTCATATGACACATTCAATTTTTTGACAAATTAAAATGAATGACTTCTGGTTTAAGAACCGACGAACATTTTTGACGTCATTGATTTGTTTCAGTGAATTTTTATTTGTTAAACAAGGAAGGCAAATGCTGGTGGCAAGTACAAACCCTGGCGAAACAAACTTTACGTATTTCAAAATATTATCCCTTCACAATCGGATGTCCACAGGTAGGTACAGGTAAAATCACCTTTCAATGCTATTTGATAGGAAAAGGTGATACATTTACCTGCACCTGTGGACATCGGAGGCTAAAAGGGCCACTAGCTGACATGCTTAATAACATAGCAAGAACAGGGGAATTCCCTGCAGCATGGAAAAAAGCAGCGGTGATGCCTATTTATAAAAAAGAAAATAAACACAAACAGCATGCAAACTATCGACCTATAAGTTTAACGAGTACACTGTGCAAATGTATGGAGAAAATAATCGCAAAAGAGCTCACCCAATTTTTTATGGACACACGAGACAGCACGGCTTCCTTCTCGGGAAATCGACAATTACAAATCTCCTAACAAGACTCAACCACTGGACACTGTCAGATGACAACCACGAACTAATATGTAGATGTGATTTATCTTGACTTCCAAAGAGCGTTTGACAAAATAGCAACACAGCTCCTAATCCATAAAGTCAAACACGTCGGAGTTAGGGGCAATTTACTCCAGTTGATCGAAGGTTTCGTCCTCGTATTCCTCATAGGAAGAACTTTTCAGGTGCGTGTGGGTGCAACACTTTCAAAAGAGCACAGAGTGCATAGTGGAGTACCACAGGCATCAGTTCTCGATCCTCTACTCTTTATTGCCTATTTATGTGATCTATATCTAGAGCTGGAAACAAGAAATGCATCTTTTGCCGATGATGGAAACATTTATGGAAATCCACTTTCGCAACATGCTGCTATTCAGAGAGACCTAAACAATATCAAAGAATGGACACAGCTATGGAAAATGCCCTTGAATGATTCCAAATGCACAGTCCTACATATTGGCCAGAACAACCCTAAATTGAATTATTTTTTTTGAACAGTTTCAAATAACACCAGTCATACACAGAGCTGGGATCGTTACTTGAAAAAAGTAACGCGTTACTTTACAGTTACTTTTGCTTAAAAATAACTCGTTACTTAAAATTTACAGTTACTTTCGAATAATGATAACTTTATTTTCGTTACTTAGGGGAAAGTAACGCATTACTGTAACTTCTTTACTTTGAAAGTAACTTCTTTACTTCGTTACTTTTAAAGTAACGCGTTACTTCAAAAATAACTATTTACGTCGAACATTGCGTTATTCCTTAATTAGACTCACCAACACAGCAGTCCAAACAATCAAATAAGACCTATACGAAATGCCAATATGTTTTTAGTTTGTGAGTCCGACTATGTGGAAGAGTATTCTTGCAAAATTCAAACGGATTAAGGATTAAGCGACTGAATAGAGCACTTGGTTTTGGAGAAACCTCTCTTTGAAGCGTCCCAGTGTCTGCATATAGTGTCTTTAGAGCAGAGGCGGCGCGTGGCACGCCCAAAAACGATTATTTTCAGCTTCCAAAACAAACTTTCTGTACTACCAACATTTTATTTGACATACAAAGTTTTTGGATTACTTATTTTCCTTTTCCTCACTCGTCAATTATTTGTAAAGAAGATAAACAAATTGAGAGAACGAGTTACTTTCATAGTAACTAGTAACGCGTTACTTCCAGCGTTACTTCAGGAAAGTAACGTCGTTACAGTTACTTATCAATTAATCTGAAAAGTAACGAAGTTACCAAGTAGCGCGTTACTTTCAGTAACTCGTTAAAGTAAAGTAACTTTTTTTTGTCGTTATTCCCAACTCTGGTCATACAACAAAGATATCTAGGAATCACTGTAACCCAGTACTTGAAATGGGAAACTCACATCACGGAAATCACCAAAAAAGCCTATTCAATGATTTACCTCATACAAAAATCATTTAAAGACCTCTCCAAAGATATGATACTAAAGCCACATAAATCATATGTCAGGCCAAGAGTGGAATATGCACAAACTATTTGGAATCCTTGCTATGCTAAAGACATAGAGCAAGCATTGAGAGAGTACAACGAAGAATAACTAAGCTGCCTCCAGACCTTCATGAACTGCCCTATGAGGAACGATTAACCCAGCTAGACCTAACCACCCTAAAAGATAGAAGAATGAGGGGAGATCTCATTGAAACTTTTAAAATAATGAATGGGCACTATGCATGCGACTTACCACCTCAACCAAAACACCAATCTCAGAGGACACAATCTAAAGCTTTCCGAGGAGAAATGTAACAAGCTAATGAGAAGAAACTTTCTAACAAACAGGGTGGTTTATCTTTGGAACAGTCTTGGTAACAACACTGTCACGTTCAAAAACCGTTTAGACCAAGAAATGAAGAACCAAAGCACAACGTTCTTTGTGCACTATACCGTATGAGGCAACTAAGTTTCAGGAGGACTATTAAGACCGCAGAGACTCTTTTGACAAGAGCAATGCATGACTTCCCAAAAATCTCTAATCTTTAAACAACAACTCAAATAGATTCAGCAGTTACATCGGATTTATTCTGTCTACTGCAGATACCCGTAATAATAATAAGTAGAGTAGAATCCTAGAAGCAAGTAGTAACATTGAACATCTGTTTGTACAGATCGTTGTAAACAGTACCGACTTCATTTTGGCAATTGCTCTTTTCCCACCTCTCAGTGACTTTGAAAAGTATGTATGTACAGTTTGCTAAAAGCCTGGAAATACTCACGGAAGTATACCCAGATAGTAAAGTGTGCGTTTTGGGGGATTTTAATCTTCCAAATGGACAATGGTTAAAAGTTGATTTGGCCTGTGTGGCTATTCCTGTGCCAACGGCTTCTCCAAATAAAGTTGAGTCCCTCCAAGTACTATCATTTTGATGCTCAAACCATAACCGATATCAGGTAAACTCTTGGATCTGGTGATATTGCAGGACAAGGAAGCTACAACTCTCTATGCAGACGAAAGTCTGTTACCTTTGGATAACCACCACCCACCACTAATTTTTAGTATTAAGTGTGAACATCACCATTTTAACAATCATGGAATCACAGGTGATGGTGTCTATAGAAACTTCCATGCCATGGTCATTGCGTGACTTTTTCTCCTGTTTCAATTGGGACACTTTGTTCATAAATAAATCCCTGGACTATATGATCAATGTATTTTATGATGTTTTGTACTTAACTGTCGACCTTTTTGTTCCTTTAAGCCATCCATAAGGTCATTCAGACATATACCGATTTTTCGCGACGAACTACGAACTAAATCCATGATTTCATGAACACAAACGCTTTCGCGAGAAACTCATGACGTCATATTGAACGTAGTTCGCCGGAAGCATTGACGCAACTTCTAGCTATGTCCTTTGATGAACTATTGATAAACTACATTTGTCGTGAAAATTCGGTTTTATTCAAAACCCATCCTATTAACTTACAGCAAAAGGCCTTTTAGAGAAACGCAAAATGCCTATAAGATTCAAATAATTTCTACATGTCATACAATTGTTCAAACATTGTAGGTATGTACTTACTTACTAAAACTAATTAATTAATAGTGATGAGCTTATTGGATGTAGAACACCAAATAAAAATGTAAACCGTGTTCATGTTTTTATAAATGTTTTTTTTTTTCAATTATCACACTAATGAGGTTATTTTTAAACTATATATGATACAAGTTACAAAGTTTAAAATTCTGTTTGTTTAGGAAATTGGCCGGACAAACTCTATTCATCACCGGAGCCAGTAGAGGTATCGGCAAGGCTATAGCTCTCAAGGCAGCTAAAGATGGTGCTAATGTTGTAATTGCTGCTAAGACTGCGACTGCACATCCCAAACTACCCGGAACAATTTATACTGCTGCTGAAGAAGGTAATTGAATTTTAAATGATATGAAAGGAAGTATTTATGTAACTTGGTTATTTTGCTTTTTGTAACATAAAATATGCTCTTTCTTGTATTTGGAATTGTATTTATCTGGTTTAAATTGAAAAAAGCCATACAATGAGACAAACACGTCGCTTGTTTAATGAGAAAACCAAGCGGACCGGCACCATATTCATCATTTGACCAGAATGTGTCAGGGAGGTTAAAGTCACCACACACCAGAATATCACAATTATTAACCGACATCGCATCCTGTAGAATCAGTGACACAGCTTTGGCAAACGCTTCATATACTTCCAATGGAGAAGCAGGTGGAATGTATGCATTCCCAATAAGTAGCTTTTTAGATCCTAGACTTATCGAAACAAATACATGTTCAACGTTGGTTGCATGTGATATTATTTGCATTACGGGGAAGTTCCTTTTCACTGCTATTAATGAGCCCCCGCCTCTAGTACATGAACTGGTAGATTCAGATCGATTATACCTAAAAACTGTATAGTTTATTAGACCAAGTTCAGCATCACCAATAAATTCGTCCAAGAATGTTTCAGTGAAAAGAAGAATTTCATAGTTCTCAATTGCTGTGGAACACATTAATGCGTTTAATTTGGTTCTTAAGCCCCACACATTCTGGTAATAGGCACTTATCGCTGATTCTGGACATGGTTTCGAGGATTGTTCCGGGTCTGATTTCTTCTTTGGAAAAAATTTCTGTTGTTAAATTAAATGATCTAGAGGTCCTTGGCCTCTCGATGAAAACAAAGGGTTTCACTGTTGTATCTTCAGGCCATAACTCTGGTGTCAATATTGATGAATCATATGTAGGCTCTACAGAGAGCTTAAAGGAAGCAATGTGTTCATTTTAAGATTGAAGTTTCTCAGTAACCTGAGTTGCGATGTTATTGGATTCCAAGTGCGCCTGCTGTGGTGTCACCACTTAGATTTCCCACATAGAACCAGGATTGCTTAATCCGAGCTACCCTTATTAGAGCCTTTGATACATTTTTCAGCACCCAACAGCTTGAAAGTTTTTTGGGTAATATTGGTGTTATTAGCCTATTAGCCATGACTGCCTTGTTGACTGCTTCACTTGGGTGGTTCCAATTTTATGCAGCTCAAGGTTGGCAACTTCATTCTGGGTAAAAAATCTAACCAACTCTTGACCAAACGTGTCAGCTTCAAATAAAGGTAATCAATGCAACTGCTGAAAACTCCTACATCCGTGCAACATAGTTACATAAATACTTCTATTAAAATTCATCTATATCATCAAACATTTTCTTTTTAGTTGAAAAAGCCGGTGGCAAAAGTCTACCATGCGTAGTCGACATCAGGGACGAAACTCAAGTGAAAAAAGCTGTAGAAGAAGCAGTGAAAAAATTCGGCGGAATCGACATTGTGGTCAACAATGCCTCCGCCATTTCCTTGACCGGAACAGCCGAGACTGACATGAAACGTTACGACCTCATGCACCACATCAACACCAGAGGCACTTTCCTGGTATCCAAAGAATGTCTTCCGTATTTGAAAAAAAGCAAAAACCCACACATTTTAATGATGTCGCCTCCATTAAATATGCAACCTCATTGGTTTAAGAATCACGTCGCTTATACTATGGCCAAGTACGGTATGTCGATGTGTGTTTTGGGCATGCACGAAGAATTTAGACCTTTAGGAATTGCTGTAAATGCTCTCTGGCCTAGAACAGGTATTAAAACGGCAGCAATGGATATGTTGAGCGGCGGAGATTCGAGCCGACAATGTAGGAAACCTGAAATTTGTGCTGACGCTGCTTATGCAATTTTAACTAAAGACTCCAAAACAACCACAGGAAACTTTTTCATCGACGACGAAGTTTTAAAAGCAGCAGGAATAACAGACATGGTTCAGTACGCTTGTGATCCATCAAACGCTGACAATTTAATGCCCGATTTCTTCGTTGATTCAAATGAACCAGCTCCGTCTCCATTAACTGAAGCCTCTCAAGGCAAAAAGGCACCAGTGGGTGACGTTGCGAAACTTTTCCAAGCTATCGAAGGCAGCTTGTCAGCAGAAACTGTCAGCAAAACTCAAGCAGTTTTTGCATTTGTAGTTACTGGAGACGAAGCTGGAAAATGGTACATTGATTTGAAGAGTGGCAAAGGGGCCTGCGGCCAAGGTGAACCACCAGTCACTGCGGATGCCACATTGACTATGGACAGTAAAAATTTCTTCAACATGTTTTCTGGTAAACTCAAGCCCGCGACTGCTTATATGATGGGAAAATTGAAAATCAAAGGTAACTTGCAACAAGCTATGAAACTCGAGAAGCTCATGTCAAGTCTTAAATCTAAGTTATAAATTGTTAAGACTTATTTATTTGTAAGTTTTTTAAGCCTTAAAAGATAAAAATTTTATATAATACATATACGTAAAGCAATTAGTTAATTATACAATGATTATATTAATTATTATTAAAGGTATGGTGCAAGTCTATTTTTTATTGTTAAAATTGTTTGTTAACTAGGATGCAATTTTTTTGTGCGAATTAAACTATTTTTAGTAAATCTTTTTTGTTGAATTTATCCCTAGATACTGTGCGATTATTGTATCAATCTCCAATGCGCTCCTACACCACTTATCCGATTACGATGAAACTTTGGTAGGTTGTTATGGCCATCCCAATTCCCAAGAAAGGTTTGTGGATAGGTTACGCATCTCGAAAAACATGAAACAACGTTGCCACATTTCATTTATTAAGGCTTGCGCATTCAACCGACGTAACTTTATTATTTTTTGACTTCCAGAACGGCTAGACCGATCTTGAATTTAATACCAAGTATCTATATAAGCCGAATTCGATTGACCTAGATTAGATCGATTTGGGTTAAGTTCGATCATTTGTTTGTTGATGAGGGTACACTGATTCAACCTCAATCGAACACAGTGTGGTTCACTTAAATTGAACCAGATCGATCTAATCCGATCAATCGACTTCGGCTATAGAGGGGAGTGATATAAATAGGCTATTTTGTATCCCGAAAAAAAAGTTCAGTTGCTCGAAACTCTGATACACTGTAACGCCTATAAACAGCTCGGGGCGCTCTAGAGCAGCTCTGGAGTGCTTAAAAAGCGTCACTGAACTCACTGGCAAGCGACTCTGGTTTGACCTGAATTTAATTCAGCTACTAGATACGTTTACACAACATTTATTAGATATTTAATAATTCAGTCAGAGGCGGTACAAAGTTCGCCGGGTCAGCTAGTTAATAATAAAGTCCTCAAATAATTAGGTTTTTGATTATTTTAGTAGTGCAGTAACGCAAAACTAATCGAACACACTTCAGATTTATTTTTTTCTGATGTTGGCAACACTGATTACTGATGTTTTTGGTTGTCAATAATGTCAAAAAAGTAATGTCAGTGTCAGATTGTTGTTTTTTGTTTTTGAATATTGAAAAAAATGCGGTGAAATTTTATTTTCCTTAAATCACTCAAACTCAACGTTGATTGTAAATATTACAATGAAAAAAATAATAATATATTTGCTAACATGTTTATTAGTATTTTTACTATACTTGACGGGGTTGGTATTCTTTTTGACAGACCATGAACCCGGCGACAAGTGTGAAATGACCTACATGTTTGAATACCCCCAATATGTGGTAAGTACCTTTTACCCCCTTTTATTTTTGGGATTTCCTGAGTCAGAACTATTAATATAATAACTAGAGCTTAGGCTACGTGGCCTTATATTTGTAGTATTTAATAAAATGAGGCAATTGCCAAAAATATTTAAATTTTTGCATACTTGCCAAAACAATGAATATGATCTAATTCTGGCTGTTTTTAAGGCTTACAAATTTCAAAAAAAATTAAGATGACAATTATTTTATTTACAGAGAGTATCTCAAGATGTAGACCTGAAATATCCAAAGTATGGATTGTATGCTTACGGAGAAGGAAGAATGACCAAGAAAGCCAGGAATATGTATTTTGATGGCGTTCCCGTTCTTTTTATTCCAGGCAATGCTGGCTCACATCAACAAGGTAATAATCTACTGACCTTTAAGTATTTAAAATTTAAAGGCCTCAACTAGCAACTAGAAAATAGTAGAGGGTAGAGGTGCCAAAAGCTGGTAGTCTATTGAACAGGAATAAGATTCTGATGGTACCAATTTATTTACATATTATTTAGCTACTGAAGTTTTTGTTTTGTTATCAACTAGGGATCGTCCGATACCGATATTTATATCTGCTATATCGGCCTCATTGGCCGATTATCGGTATCGGCCGATATCAGGAAGCCGATAAGGACAAAAACAATTACAAGAGAAATACATTTATTTTTATTGACAATAAAATATATATAGCTACGCAAAATAAAGTGGAAATTATTAGCTTTTTTTCTGACAGCTTTTTTTAAAAAATTTATTTTTCTCCAAACGTCAAAAAAACGTCACTTTGTTAACGCCTGTCAAGGTGTCAGAAACTTCTGCTAGGCAAAAGAAAATGTCTAATGCTAAGGAGGAGTGCTGCAAATTTAAAGAAAAAGTGGAAGAACTGAAACTACTAAACACGGAAATGCTAACCTCTATCAAGGTACTAGAGTCTGAAAAACAAATGTACAGAGAGGAAATATTTAGTTTAGAAAAACAAGTTTCACATATGGTTGGGGAAAAGCCGAAGTATGGGGGCAATCAAAAGAAGAGGGTTGATACCCCAAAAAATCAAATTCTTATTTTGGGTGATGGTTTGGCCCAGAACTTTGGGAGTATTTTGGACCGATACCTCAACTCAAACTTTGTCATCTCCGCATTGGTTAAACCGAATGCACTGCTTGATGAAGTAGTGTGCAGTATTATACAATTAACTAGAACTTTTACGAAGAATGATTATGTGGTAGTAATGGGAGGAATGGCGAATCTACTGAATGGCATCAGAGTCAAAGAAGAATCTATTCAGAAACTAGAAGAAGTCTGTATTAATACAAATTTGGTAATTTTTTCTGTCCCACTGTGGGAAAATAATTTGCTTCTAAATAAATTTATTAATGAACACAATAAAATGATCTATCAAAGGGTAGGCATAAGGAATTCTGTGAATTTTTTGCACTTCAATGCAATTGTTACTTCCTGGTATTTTGTATTTAAAAATGGTTTGCATATTAAATATGCTGGGAAAGTGATGATAGCAAAAGCGTTAAAAAACATAATTTATAGGAATATAGATCATACTGTAACTTTAGGATATAGAAACGATAGTGGCACTTTGAAGGACAGTTATGATAAGGACCAGGAAGAAAATATTAGGGAGAATGATTTTTTATGACTGACTCAATTATTTTAATAAATGTGCAAAGTCTTGTCTCCAAATTTGAAGAAATAGATCATTTTGTGTTAAGAAAGAAGCCACTTATTGTATGCTTAACAGAGACAAGATTAACAGTTGAAATTGAAAATTTTGAGATTGATATTTTAGGTTATCATATTGTTAGAGTTGATAGTGAAAGTCGCCACACAGGAGGTGTAGTAGTTTACTTGAGGGAAAACATTAATATTTTGGAAACAAAAAGGTATCAGTTTCAAAAAAATTACTGGTTTTTGGTAGTAAAAATTTCATTTAACAATAGGATTTATGTTCTAGGAAATCTGTATCATTCCCCTAGTGCTAGTGACGCAGATTTTTTGAATTTTTTCGAGCAATGGTGTGTTGGGATAACAGACACGAACTGTAATATAATAATAATGGGAGACTTTAATATTAACTGGTTGGCAAGCTCTACATATCCAAATAAACTTAAAAAAATTGTAAGCGATGCAGGCTTGTATCAGGTGGTGGGGACGGTGACACATCCTAGTATTAATGACAATGATGGAAGCATTATTGATTTGGTCTTAACAAACAGAAGGCATATTTTGCAATGTAAGGTTATTGAAACTCCTCGAATAAGTGATCATTTCATTGTAAGTACAAACATAGGACAATCAGCTGGCTTTAACCAGGATAGTTTAACTATTCAAACCCGCGGTAGGATAGATTATAATGCGATAAATAATAAATTATCCAATATTGTATGGGATTATCGATGTACTGATATTGATATTAAACATTGTTTGTTTTACAATCATATGAAGGCAATTTTAGATGAAGTTGCCCCACGAGTTGAAAAAGTAATAAAGCCAAAGTTTAAGGAATGGTTTAATGATAGAGTTAAAAAAGCAATTGAGAACAGGGATAATAGTTACAAAAAGTTAAAGGCAAATAAAAATCTAGATAATAGGGTTAATTATAAAAAATGTAGAAATACAGTAGTAACAGTCATTAGGGTAGAAAGGGAAAAGTATTATCAAAATAAAATCGATCTAGCAAAAAATAATCCAAAACAAATGTGGAATACACTTAGCCAATTAATTTCTGGGAAAAAGAAAACTAATATCAGTAAGCTCAAAGTTAATGATAGTGTTTTGGTTGATACAAAAGAAATCGCGGATAATCTAAACTCGTATTTTGTTGAGAGTATTGACGATATAAAAAAGAAAATTGACAAACATAACTTAGTGGGTGAGTGGAAACAGAGTGCAAGTGACGCTATAGAACAAAATTATATAGATACGTTTGATCTAATTGATTATAATTACCTTAAAGAAATCGTATTTTCATTACCTAACAAGGGAAGCCCGGATGATATAACGTCAGAGTTTCTAAAGAATACCTACATTAACATTGAAAAGCCACTCTTGAACCTAATAAATACGTCACTGGAAATTGGACAGGTACCCTCTTTATTAAAAGTATCTACAGTAATACCGATTCAAAAGGTAAAAGGTACAATTAGTGCCGAGGAGTTTAGGCCAATTAATATGTTAGTAACTATTGAAAAGATATTGGAAAAAATAGTATATAAGCAACTAATGCAATTTATCTCAGCAAATAACATCTTAATTGTAAATCAATCAGGGTTTAGAAAGAACCACAGTTGCGAATCCGCCATTCAAAATATACTTTATGAGTGGAAAGATCTTTTAGATGAAAACTATGTGATAGGGGCAGTGTTTCTGGATTTGCAGAGGGCTTTTGAAACAATAGATAGAGAAACATTGATAATGAAATTAAAACAAATTGGCATAAATAATAGAGCACTGGACTGGCTTAGTGATTACATGAATAATAGAAAGCAGGTAACAAAAATAAATAACCATATATCTTCAGAACTATCAAATACCAGCGGCGTACCACAGGGAAGTACATTGGGCCCATTGTTATTCTTAATTTATATTAATGATGCAGTTAAAGAGATTAATAATTGTTCAATACATATGTTCGCAGATGACACATTGTTATGTTTCAGTTCCAAAGATTTGAATCATTTAACTGAAACTATTAATTTGGAGCTTGCACAACTACACAAGTGGTTTAATAGCATGTCATTAAAGTTAAACATACAAAAAACAAAATTTATGCTTATAGGGAGTGATACATTTCAAAAACAATTTAAATTGAGTAACTTGAGTATAAAAGTGGAAAACACTACTTTAGAGGTAGTAGAAAAAACTAAATATCTTGGTTTTATTGTGGATAATCATCTGACTTTTAAGGATCATGCATTGTATATAATTGACAAAATAACCAAAAACGTTAATTTTTTGTCGCGAGTGTCGCCGTTCCTGTCACGATGGTCGAAGGTGGCTGTCTTCAATACATTGGTCCTGCCACATCTTGTTTTTAGTTCATCTATACTCTATCTTGCCAATAAGAATGAACTGAATAGGTTACAAAAACTTCAAAATAGGAGTATGCGAATTATATTAGCTGCAAAAAGGGATACACCCATAAAAAATATGCAAAGGGAACTAAACTGGCTATCTGTGGAAGTATTTTTACAATATCAGATATTAATACTTGTCTATAAAATAAAAAATCGTTTAACTCCCAACTACTTATCTGAGAAACTTGTTACAAATGAAACTGTACATACATACCCAACAAGAAGCAAACACAATTTTTATGTAACAAAAAAGAATAGAGCAAGTACTGAGAAAGCGGTATTCCACAAGGGCTTGATTGTGTTTAATTCTTTACCTGATCATATCAAGAATATTTCAAAATTAAATGTATTCAAAACAAAATTGAAAAAACACCTAATAGGGGAATGATAAGAAATGTATTGGCATAAGGTTGAATATTTAATTTAGGTCAGTTAAATAGTTGTAGCATACAGAGCAAATTTGTATAACACTTGTTTCTTTATTTTATTTTTAGTTTTAAGTTTTTTTTTTTTTTTTATTAGTCTTTTTTGTGAAATTGTAAAATAATGTATATTAGCCAAGTGCTAAATAAAGGAAATTAATAATAATAATAAAAAAAATCCAGCAGGTTAGCACCTGTCGAGGTGGTAGAGATTTAATTTCTATGCTGCTAGGCAACCGCACCGACAGTAGAAGTACTTTTAGTGCCGCTGGAGCGGCAGCAAAAGTACTTTTAGTGCCGCTCGTACTTTTACTGTCGCTTAACCATCCAGTTACCCCCGAGCTTACTCCATTCGCTTGGAGAAAAAATAGCGTGTTGCATACGGAGTAGAAGCACTTTTTTGTGCTTCAGACCGGTAGCTGTCAAAAAATTCCGGTAAAAGTTAGGTGTAAGTCCGGTTACAAAATTTTTCTGGTGCATTTTGGAAAGCTTTGGTATGAAAGTTTGGTTGTGTTGCTTGCTGTTTGGAATTTGGAATGTACGGTGGTTTGATGTGGGATGCACTGCGGGTGCAGTAAAATTGGATGGAATGTATTTTTATTATAACAACATTTTTTGATTCTGTAATCTGCAAGAAACAATTTAACGAACGACTGTCAATAGTGCACATTCCAGGGCGAGTTCTCATGAGCGTAAGTTGACATTTCTGGTGTAATCACGTGCTAATATGGTGTAATTTGATTGGTGAAATATCCAGCATGGTGAATATTTTACCAATAAAACCCATACATTTTATTATGTGATTACGCCAGAAATGTCAACTTACGCTCATGAGAACTCGCCCTCAAAGCAAGTAATTT